ATTTGAAAAGAAAAAAATGTTTCATGAACTGAAAATAAACTAAAATTAGAAACACTTCAGTTTTAATAGTTTAATGTTGTTGCTCTAATAAAATCCTAAAAACAAAACACATTTTCAACAAAATTTTGTTAAGCAAAGCGGATTTTTCCTCTAAGATAAATAGAAAGATAGATATTCTTTCCAAGTTTTAGTTTTCATGTTTGAATTACTAAGGCAGGGGGTACTTGAAATGTAATTTTTTCGAGTGAGTTAATTAGAAATTTGTATAGACTACAAACCACACGATACAGGGAGTGGATACATTTAAGTGATAAAATATATATGGGGATACATACTTAGATACATTGGGATACATCTACTAACACTTTATCTAAATGAGTTTTTGATGTATTTTTTTCAGAAGGTTTCAGATGACATGTTTTGTTATTTTTTCTTTTTTCCTTTGCCATGTCTTTTAAGAGTTTTTTATTAATATTTTTGAAATTAAACTGGGCAATTAGTTGTGGGAAATTTTAGACAAGTACAGTTTTAATTTTTACAAATGATTTCAAAGTCTTTTACATTTCAATACAATTTTATTGAAAATAACTTGTTTTTATTCTTATTTGTTTGAAATAAAGCTTAAGAAATGATTTAAAAGTTCGCTTTAAACAAAACCACCTTTCTAAAGAACAATTGAAAATGTATTTTGTTTTTAGCTACTTTTGTTGTTGAAAGCTTAATAATGTTATTAACCTATTTTCGGTTGAAATATTCAAAATAAAAGAATGCGAAATTAATTTAAATTTGTTTAAAATAAGAAAGTCCAGCTGAACATGATTTATCAGGCAAACATTTGCTTTAAACAAAAAATGTGTTATTTGGCAAATTAGATGCATTTGTGGGCACATTGGGAGGAATTTGAATAAAAATTTTCAATGTTTAACAAACACAAAGTCAAATTTAATATTCTCGAAGGTTTCTCAATGCTAAAGCAAGTGTTTGAGAGAAAAAGTTAGAAATACTTTGTTACTATTTTCCTCCTATTGTTGAGGAGGGTTTTATTCTCGAATAGTTTTCAAATCCTCGACAAAAATTGAAAGAATTAAACTTAAATTCATTTCAATTTAAGCCTAATTAATATTAGATTTTTGTTTAAAATTTTTCTTTGTTCATTTTACTCACTCCAACACCACTGTCCATAAGTGTAGTTTCAATATAACTGCATTCTAATCTCACATTAACAATCTCAAAATAATACATTTTGAAATTCAAATAAAAAGAATGATGGCAAAAAACCCGACTTACAATTGCTTCATTAAATATTTTAATTGTTGCTAAGAAAACTTCGGAGAACAAAAAAAAAAAAAATGAAATTACAACTCTTTTAGTTTAGTTTCTTTTACGATTCTGTTGACACAATAATTGTATAAATTCCTAGAAAAAAATATTATCAATAAGGGGAAGACACGGACCGATCGCTCATTAAACAAACCAAAAGAACAAATAATAATGTCAATTCAAAAAAAAAGGAAACAATAAAACATTGTTTTATAAGTATTTATTTATATATAAATATAAAAACAATAAAAAGTGATAAAATATATATAAAAAAGCAAAACAATAAAAAGCATTTTAGAACGTGTTCCCATAAAAAAATACGATTTTTTTAGACATAAACTAGTAGTGCCGTTTTTCGCTTGTTTTCTTCTTGTCGTCTTTATTTTTTTTTTTAGAAATGTTGATTGAAATGAATGTAACATGTTCCATTTTTTATTAATTTAACAGTTTGATTTTAAACTAAAGAAAATTATTTATAAAGTTTTAAAAGAATTGTGAAAAAAAATCCATTAAACTGGCACGAGTCTAGTTTGAATTTGATGATTATCTTGGATGTTTTTTTTTCCATGAGGCTTTAAATGTGTGTAATTAGAAAATAATTAAGTTTTTTTTTAATAGTTTTTTAATAATAAGAATATTAACAAATTATTGAAGACAATCTAAAATAAAATCCAACAAAATATAGCCCAATTCTATCCAGAAATAAGCCGTCTCTTTCTAAATCCTAATCAAATATTTCTATACAGTTTTTTATCCATGGACTCTTTTGACACATTTTGGCGTGTCATAATGACCAAGGTCCATGTCAAAATATTAATAATTTTATTCTTTAGTGTCCCAAAGTGTCCCTTTTGTAAGCGAGAAAAAGAAAGGACAGTCGTTACTTTACTGTCCCCAAGTAATCGATAGTGTAGTTACTTAAAAAACAAGCTTAAGAGAAAATTTTTATTGTCATGTATGAACTATTCTTTGGACTAGCTTTCAGATTATCTCTTTGTAATCTATGGAGTGGCGATTGATATTCTCCTAGGATAGGAACATGTTAAAACAGTTATTCACCGGAATAGTCTGGTGGCTGAGGGTAACCCTAAGTGGGGTAGGTTAAATAGCTAGTTCGGAAATGTCCCCAAATTGTTCAAATAAATATCTAATACTAAAAGATAAAGACTCCGGAGAATTTCAAAGTCAATGATAAGAAATGATTTCATTTATCGATATCTAGAAAATAGTTAATCAGCAATAAAGGAACTCAAATGAACTGCTCTTAGAGTTAACAGCTCTTTGAACCTTGTCTTATATCTTATCTTTACGATATCAGTTCATAATTATCATGATATCAGTAAAAGTTTGCTCATTAATTGTTAAAATGTAACATGAACCTTCTACATAGGTTAAGCTCGCCTAGGGTTAATTGGGACTATCACCTCGGAAAGTCGAATATGTATATGTTCAAGTAAATTTCTAAGAGAAAAATGTACAGATTCTGGAGAATGCAACGTAGAAAATTGGTTATCAATATTATATGGATCGTTTTTATTTTGTCGATATCTAGAAAATAGTTAATCAGCAATAATAATGACTCAACTGTGCAGCTCCTATTGTGTCTTGACCTTTGAACCTTACCTAACTTAAAGATCAGTTCGTGGATGAAAACAATGTTTATTCTTTAGAAAAATCTGCTCATTACTTCTGTTAGAACGCAACAAGAAACCTTCTAAATAGGTCTCTAGTTAAGTCCGTCTAGGGTTGTTTGGGACTATCCTCTCGGATTGCTGGATAGTTAAATACGGTATTAGGCTAAATGCCTAAGAGACTAAATGTCTAAGAGAAAAAGATACAGATTCTGGAGAATTTCAAAGAAACGTGTTTAACATGGATCGCTTGCTCTTAGAGTGTCCGGCCCTTTGAACCTTGTCTATCTTAAAGATATCTGTTCGGGAATGAAAACAAAGTTTATTCTTTTGAAAAGTCTCTTCATTACTTTTATTAGAACGTAATAAAAAACCATCTACATAGGCCGGTCTAGAATTGCTTGGAACTATCCCCTCGAACTGCTGGATAGTTAAAGATCGAATAAGTATTTGTTCAAGTAAAGGTCTAAGAGGAAAAGATACATAATTCGTAGAATTTCAAAATGAATGATAGGCAAATTGGTTATCAATATTACATGGATCGCTTCTATTTTATCGATATCTAGAAAGGAGTTAATCAGAAATTAAATGGACTCAAATGAGCTGCTGATAGGGGGGCCGGAATCTTACATAAACTAAAGACATCATCAGTTCGCGAAAACAATGTTTATTAATTAGAAAAGTCTTCTTATTACTTATGTTAGAACGTAACAAACCTATATAGATCTCCAGTTATGCCTGCCTGTGTAGTCGATATCATTAAAGTTGTTAATCAACAATCAGCCCTTTGAACCATACCTAACTTAAAGATATCAGTTCGCGAATGAAAACGAAGTTTATTATTAAGAAACCTCTGCTCACAAAATAAAATATCATTAGACGACTTATTACTTCTGTCAATAAGTAGAAAGGATCATCTATATAGTAAAGTTTCCAGTAAAGACGGACTTAGCGGTTAGACTCCGGATCCCCTTTTAGAATTTAATCCAAATTAAAATAACAAATAAATTGGTTTATATGTAGAACCTATCCCAAAAAAAATCGACGATATGCAATCGATGTCAGCTATTTAAGAAGTCTACAGAAAACTCTGCCGTTAAGACCTTTTAAGAAACTTATAATCCAATTCCTTATTATATATTGGACTCCAAGCGATAAACAACCAATGTTAAACGGCAGGTTCTTTACATCAAACACGATTGTTGTGCTACGATAACTTTCCAAAATCTATAATATGTAATCGGAAAAAGATAGGTCTCCAGTAAAAGTGGTCTAAGCTGTTAGATTTCAGAATGAAAGTTAAGATCACGATATGTTTAAGTTTGAGCAAAGTTGTGTTTCGATAACTCTTAAGAACCTACTATATGGAGTAGGAAAAAATGCCAATGTCGGATGAAAGAGGACGCTTTTAGAGTTTTATAAAAAAAAAAACGAAGAAATCAGTAGGTCTTTTCAGGGTTATGATGGAACATCATGGAAGTTACAACCCCGTTACTGTTTAAAACAGTATCACTAAAAATAAAGGAATATCATAACAAAGTTTGCAAGAAATGAATTCTTCTTGACATATGTATGTCAAACTGTGATGACAGTTTGAAAGCAAAAATGTTGACAGTCCGAATTAGAAAAAAAATACAATCAAAGAGTTTATAAGATAATCCGCTTAAATTTCCAACCGGGTTTGATATATTTCCTCGAAATCTTAAATCCAACCAACACACATGATATTTTTGATGACTAAAAGAATGTTTTTTTTTTAAGTCTAAATATAAACATGACTTTAAAGAAAAGGAAATTAAAAACTTCTTTTATGGACTTAAACATTCTTGTTGTTATTGTTGTACTTTAAAGTACTGGTACTTATTTTAAGAGAGACAGACAGGTCTAACTTCAAAAATCTATATAAGTAAAGAACAGGGAATATATAATAAAAAATCAAAAGTCAGACAAACTGAGAGATATATAAAGAGAGAGAGCGGAGAAATACAAGAAACATAAGAAAGATTAACTAAGAAATTAAGAAAATGTAAGAAGAAGAAAAACACTTACCCTTCTGGGTTTGGATTCAACCATTTGTTCAACTTCAATACCGTCTGACATCTTGTTACAGTTGCTTTTATTGTTGTTGGTTTTTGGAGTAGTAGTAGTTGTTGTTTTTGTTGCACTTAACTGAAGGCGATTTAACTTTAGTTTTGTTATACTGTTCTCAGTCACACACTACTTGTATATGTTCCTTTTACTGATTCTGATTATTCCACAGACTTTGTTGAGACGACAATGATGATGTTGCTGCTGCTGCTGGTGATGATGATGATGTTGAGATGCTGCTGCACGTTTGTCGTTTTAGTTCTTTTTATGATTCTTTAAGAGTCCCGCTTTATTGTTACAATGCCGGTTTTTGTTAAATTTTTTTTTCGTTTCTTTTCAATAATTTTTATTTAGCACACAACCACAATGTATGTGTTTCAATCGTCAAGAAGTGGGAAAAAAGTGAACTGATGTTGGGGAACGATATTTTTTCTTCTTTCTTAAACAGAAATTATATTTTTTGCGTTATATTTTTTTATAAAAAAAAATCATATTTTCAATGAAATGTAGAGGAGGAAGTCCAATAACAACACTGAACTGTAAACGTACAAAAATACAAGAAATTGAAACAATCTAGAAGTTATTTAAACAGATAAAGAAACTTTAACAAAGAATGTACAAAGAAAAATCTAAAGAATTTTTAATTTCTTTTGATACAAATAAAACAAGAACCGCCTAGATTCTTAAAACAAAAATTTAAACCAAAGAATCAAGGGGGTCCTTTAAAAAACAAATTCAAAACAATGACCCTAAACCACACACACACCTTTTTTGGTTTTGTAACTTTGTAATTTATTACTTTTTTTCTAGCAATTAAAAAAAAAAACAACGGTTTTTCAGAATTCAAATTTTATTTTGAAAATTTATTTGCTTTTTCTCAGTTTTACGCGTTTAACACGTCTTGTTCGTTCAAATGTTACTCACGAATAAAACGTCAAACTTGTGATTTGACTATAAACGGACTCCCAACAACTGAACTAAACTCGTAATAAATGCTACAATACAACCAAGCAACCAGACCAGACAACAACAACAACTGCTGCAGTGGCAGCATAAACAAACTCAAGTGATATGAAGTCGCCGCAAAAATACAATAAACTCCACATACACACAGATACTTACAACTACAATCTGACGATTTGTGTAAAGCACTGCTGATAACCCAACAGACAAATTTAAACACAAACGATAACAACCGTTTCTTTTTACAAGAGAAAACTACAAAATTTGTAAAGATTTTAAAAATTTACTCCAAAAATTCTCTCTGTCTTAATTTAAAGACTCATTCCTCCACTCACAATTTTAATTAATGAAGCATTGTCTCTTGTATCTTTGTTGTTGTGTTTGGAAGTGTGCATCTTTTCCAATTGGGTATTCATTTTGTAGTTTGTTTAAGAAATGCAATTTCAGCGACAGACTACAACCACTAGATGTAAAAATAATGTTGTACACTAATCATTTATAGAACTAATGAGGACTTTCCATTGTCATTCTTTTATGATCGAGTTATAGTATAATATATTATTATATAGAAATACTAATGTTTGTTCAATATATTATAAAATTTGGTTGCCTCTGCTTAGAGGGATGGGGTTCAATATTCCTCAGAGATTCTGGGTTGTTACAACGGACTCGGTTTCATGAATTAGATTAGAATATAATTCGTGTTAACAGTAGACAGGTAGATAGACAGACATGAACATGGCTAAATCGTCTAAGAATCTAGAAAGGACCCAGAATATATATACCAATAATTCTTATAAACGGAAAGACCAAATCAAAATATAAAAATCGACGGTCCATGTTCAAGAACTTTTCTAAAGTAGGTACTCGAGCTATCCAATCTCTGACCATTGCTGCCCCGTTGCTTAACTTCCGAGATGTAAAAACATCACTCCCGTTTACAAACACGCAGATGGATTGGCCTCTGAAAGACGTATTCGGTAGTCGGGAACACGAATCCATCAAATAAGCCGAGGACTTTGTTCTTACTCACAGAGATCACACTGTGGCAAATCTGGTTTGAACAGAGTTTTCCCTGAACATACCTGGACAAGGAAGGAAAATTCAATGGTATCACTTGTATAAGATACCTTTCATCCATCATCATTCAAGCCATCACACATCTCATTCATCCGACACAATCACTCTAGGTATACGGGCGGGTAAGATCCGTTTAGCCCTACATTCATCCTTTATCTTATACATTTAACATAAACTCATTTCCAACGCTTAGTCACTCTTCTTTGGGGTATCTGTTTACTTCGGCAACAGCACCGAACTTATCCCGAATTATAGATTTCACCGTGCATCAGTGCTTTAACCGACATTCTCTTCCTGTGAATTTGGGTTTAAACCATAGCCACTACGTGGATCCCGAAGGAACCTCAACCAAATGACCAGGCAGGACAAAGTCCTGCGGGCAACTGGTCACCCGTAGTACCAGATTATTTGGTTATCTGGTTCCGCCCCATGTCAAATCATTCCAAGGAAGGGGATTTCCGGCAGACTAGAGGCATTGATAGCACCTCCTTTTTCCGGGATTGCAATCACACCAAGATGGGATCTTTCATCAAGGTAAAATGCCCCCGCAGGGCGGCACTGGAGACAAATAAGAAAATCGTTCAAATCGGATCATTTGAAGACCTTCATCGACATGGGAGCTTATGCCAATTCCTGTTCTTAGATCAGCTATAAGCAAAAGTGTCCATAATATGAATATTATTTTTTAAACGTTTTAAAGTGATTTCCGTAAAAAGGGATTTATACGAAAGCTTTACTTTTATGCTGGGGCTAGATGAATCGATTTCAAACAGGGTCCATCCTTAGTAATCTTCAAAATTGCGATTTGTAGTTTGATCACAAAACTATAGGGGAGTAGGATATAATTATAAAATCACAATATGCGTCCTGTGAGAACGCTGGGATATTATGGTAAATACATCTGTTTTCTTTAACTAACTGAACCTTTGGGTTGGTTCTCTTAATTGTCCGAACTGTCATTAGGCTGAAGCTTAAAAACTCGCATGTAAATTTAGTGCGAAATAGACGCGAGAATCCTACACTGGACGTCTCTGTATATCTTTTGGTCCTTTTGAGAATCAATCTGTCCTTTGATTAGATCTGTTGGTGATAGAACATATCATTAATGAAGTTTGTCCCCGAGATACCTTCCGACATTCTCATATACATCAACATCCGACACACAATCACTCTAGGTATACAGACAGGTAAGATCCGTATACCCCTAAATTAATTAGAATTTTCTGAAATTTAATTAGAAAGTTCTATATAATTAGTAATGGTGTAATCGCTTGATTTGGTAACTCGGGGATAAGGTATTTGTTGAGACATTTCAAGCCCAGGAATTATATGTGAGCAGCTTGTTATGTTACTATAACCTCTCTAATTATCCTTCTGCATCTTAACGTACAACGTTTACATTGTAATCCTCCTCCTTTTACGGGGAATGAAAACAATAAAACAACAACTAACACTGACTACACACCAGCACGTTGTGTAGTATTAAAAACCCTGTATTTTTTCCCAGTCGTCTCCAACCCAGTATTTTGTCTGACATTGTAGTTTTATTTTAATTTTTATTGTTGTTGTTGCTGCTGTTTTTCACTGTCTACATGTGTTGTTATTGCGTTTTCTCTTTCATTTATTTGTATTTGTGTCTGGTTGTGATAAAAACGTTCCTTTTTCGTTGTTGTTGTTCATATTCCTCCCAATATTTTTGGGTGTATTTCGGGGTCCGTTTGTGAGTTTTTGTGTGCATGCAGTTTTTTTCTCATTTGCTTTTCTGAATGTCAGCATGTTGTTGTTGTTTTTTTTGGTTCGCATTGAGTTTTGAATTTAATTTTAAATATTCAGCTTAAATTTGTAAATTAAGTAATTTTTTCATGTTGATTTTTTTTTTAATTTTGATAATTTTTATGTAAGAATACGTGTGTGTGCACAAGAGTTATCATAACTGTTGTTTTTGTACATGAAAATTTATTGATTTTCAATGCAGGAAAATTGCTTAATATAGGGGTATAATTTGGAAACTTATGAAACTGTTTGTTTCTTCAATATACATAACTTCATTTTTAGAGTTAATGAAAATTTAATTAGCATTGAAATTTTGTAATATATTAAAACAATATTGATAGGGGTTTAGGAATTAAACTCAATTTTAGTATTGGCTTTTAGTTTTAAGGAAAAACTTAACATTCTTTAAATAATTGTTGAAATATGAATAATTTTCACACATTCCATTCAAAATATGTACATACATATATTTAATTAAGCGGAATGTTATTAATTAGTTTTAATTCATTATATTTTGTTAGGTTAGACAATATACTATACTATATACACGACTATATACACGACTATATATATATACTAGACTGTATTCTAGATTATAGACTAGACTAGACTAGACTATAGACTAGACTAGACTAGACTATAGACTAGACTATAGACTAGACTATAGACTAGACTATAGACTAGACTATAGACTAGACTATAGACTAGACTATAGACTAGACTATAGACTAGACTATAGACTAGACTATAGACTAGACTATAGACTAGACTATAGACTAGACTATAGACTAGACTATAGACTAGACTATAGACTAGACTATAGACTAGACTATAGACTAGACTATAGACTAGACTATAGACTAGACTATAGACTAGACTATAGACTAGACTATAGACTAGACTATAGACTAGACTATAGACTAGACTATAGACTAGACTAGACTATAGACTAGACTATAGACTAGACTATAGACTAGACTATAGACTAGACTATAGACTAGACTATAGACTAGACTAGACTAGACTAGACTATAGACTGACTATAGACTAGACTATAGACTAGACTATAGACTAGACTATAGACTAGACTATAGACTAGACTATAGACTAGACTATAGACTAGACTATAGACTAGACTATAGACTAGACTATAGACTAGACTATAGACTAACTATAGACTAGACTATAGACTAGACTATAGACTAGACTATAGACTAGACTATAGACCTAGACTATAGACTAGACTATAGACTAGACTTATAGACTAGACTATAGACTAGACTATAGACTAGACTATAGACTAGACTATAGACTAGACTATAGACTAGACTATAGACTAGATTATAGACTAGACTATAGACTAGACTAGACTATACTAGACTATAGACTAGACTATAGACTAGACTATAGACTAGACTATAGACTAGACTATAGACTAGACTATAGACTATAGACTAGACTATAGACTAGACTATAGACTAGACTATAGACTACACTATAGACTAGATTATAGACTAGACTATAGACTAGACTATAGACTAGACTATAGACTATAGACTAGACTATAGACTAGACTATAGACTAGACTATAGACTAGACTATAGACTAGACTATAGACTAGACTATAGACTATAGACTAGACTATAGACTAGACTATAGACTAGACTATAGACTACACTATAGACTAGACTATAGACTAGACTATAGACTAGACTATAGACTAGACTATAGACTAGACTATAGACTAGACTATAGACTAGACTATAGACTAGACTATAGACTAGACTATAGACTAGACTATAGACTAGACTATAGACTAGACTATAGACAGACTATAGACTAGACTATAGACTAGACTATAGACTAGACTATAGACTAGACTATAGACTAGACTATAGACTAGACTATAGACTAGACTATAGACTATAGACTAGACTATAGACTAGACTATAGACTAGACTATAGACTAGACTATAGACTAGACTATAGACTAGACTATAGACTGGACTATAGACTAGACTATAGACTAGACTATAGACTAGACTATAGACTAGACTATAGACTAGACTATAGACTAGACTATAGACTAGACTATAGACTAGACTATAGACTAGACTATAGACTAGACTATAGACTAGACTATAGACTAGACTATAGACTAGACTATAGACTAGACTATAGACTAGACTATAGACTAGACTATAGACTAGACTATAGACTAGAC